CGTGGTGCATGGCGTAGGGCCAGTACTTCGCGTCGACGTCGCTCTGTTGCAGGAGGGCGATGACCTTCGTCATGTGCGTGCGGTTGGTGCGCTCCGCGACGCCTTGTTGGGGCGTAGGGCAGTGAGAGCGTGTGTACGATGCCTTTGTCCGCGATGTAGTCCGGGAACTTGTCGCTCTTGAATTCAGCTGCGCAGTCGGTTTCCAGATCTTGAGGGTGCAGCCAGACTGAGTTTCGGCGTTGGCGTGCCAGACCTTGAAGACGTTGAACGCCTTGCTCCTGTGAGAAACATTGGCCAACCAGACGAAGCGAGAGTGAGCGTCGACGAAGGTGAGGGTGTATTCTTCGCCGTTGATGCCGGTCTGTATGAGGACGAGGAAGTCGCTGTAGACTTTCTGCAGATTCTCGTAACGGTTTGTTCCTGGTTCGAGATCATGCCGGTCGTGTAAAGATCTTGAAGCGCATTAGTCGGACAAGATCTCGACGCAACGATGAAAGTACAAGTCCGTTACATTGTTTAGCAAATTATAATATCTATATATATTTTGTAGCTGCAGAATAGCTTTACCAGCCCACTCTCTGATGCAATCTGAACCGTCTTATAGGATCGTCTCAGGTTGATCGCACGGAGTGTAGCAGCGGAAGGTTTGAATACTGTCGGGTACGAACTCTGTCAGTAGGAGGAGATTTGAATCTCGACAAAAGTGACTAACATAATGCGATACAAGGGTTTATATAGGAATACAGTGGAATACGAAAGGTCCTAGCTAGCCATGTACTCTGAGGGGGTACATTCCCCTTAGGGCTAATCTAGATGCAGGATCGCAACTGTGCGGCTCGGTAACCGTACGCGGTTCGGTAACCGTTTGAACTTTTCCCGCACTTTTCATTTCGAATTCTTCCTGCTTGCAACCGTCTTCGATAACTGTCTTGACGCTTGGTCTTTCGTCCTCGCTGTAGTTATCTTCGCGTCAAGGATTCGTTACTTTAGGAATGTTCATTCCATATCGTAACACTCTCCATCATATAAGGGACAAAAGATACCCGCTCCACGAATAGCATGAACCTTGCTGTCGATAGTACGTAACCTAGCTTGTATTTGCATGTCACAAACGATACGCATCGTCGTATAAGGGCCAGTAGACACGCGCTCCGCAATGCGCCTGAACCTTGCTGTCAATAGCGCGCAATCTAGTTTGCATTTGCATTTGCATATATGTACGCACGATGGTTTTTTAAATCTAATCCCTTATGCAACATAAACTGGTAGTGCTGTATTTACCTAGGTTCTTTGTGCTGCTTTGTTGCTCAGCAACGAACAGTATACCTGACATCATGCCGTTGCCAGGATATTTTAGGAGATTGCGAACAGTTCTTGTGAGAAAATGTCTCTGCGCCTGGTGATTGGGTGGAGCTGAAGTGCGCCTTCCATAGCATTGGCCTAATGCCTGTTGTGCATTTAATGAAGATCATGACTTGTTGCGTCTTGTTGTCGGTCATCCGCTCACATGTTTCAAACAGTGTCCTTGAAGTACAGAAGCAACCTTTTCTACATTTCGAAGGGTTTGAAGAAATTCTTGCCCCAAATATACGTAGCGAAGACGTTTTCTACACGCCCCTCGGGATGGAACCCAGTCGAGTTTCCAGCGTCTTTTGGCGTGTTCTTCTATGTGCTGGTTGTAAACATTCGTACAAAATGACACAATGACGTACACTTATAGCTTTTGGGTCTTTGCGAGTCTTGTGCCATGTCGCGACGTGGACGGCCTTGACGCATGAGCTGGCGGCATGGTTGTCTTGCAAAATCTACTTCAGGCCGCGGATCTTCAGTCACTAGAGGGTGGATTGGCCTGACTTTTCCACACAACAACGTGCTGCAGCAGGCTCGATGCAACACCCGAGATTCTGTTAGGCAAGTCTCTGGGATTTTCACCAATTGTAAGGCACACATTGCGGTGAAAAATAATGACCCCACCTGATGCTTCGACTTTGAACCCCAGGTCCCGACCCGAGCATGACACGGACGGACTGGGGTTGTGGCGTTGTTGGCCTGATTTCGCGAGCCGAATATACACCCCCGAAGTGAATTTCGACCCTTGTACTTGCACCTCCACCCACTTCAAATTGAATTTCGACCACTGTACTGTACTGTACAGGCACTTGCATCCCCTCTATCCCTTCCCTCCTGCGTAGGGAGTTTCCTGTGTGTGCATCAGTGCACCAGTGTACTAGAAAATTGTGGTTCGCATTGCATTCCTTGTTCACACCTCACTTCAAGATCATCGTTCATTATGAGTTCACGCAAGCCCACGTTCAGACCCAAAAGAAACCTTCGTTTCTGACGTCAACTCTGACGGAATGAATCTCTTTTTAGCCACCTGATGGAATGAATGAGATCCCTTCAGCAACACGCTGTGGAGCTGCCATCTGCCCCTTCTTCCTTTGCTACCGACCTCCCCCATCCCACCACACTTTTGACTGCCAATAAATCTAATATCGCCAGGAACAGGCGCTGTGTACCCATGTCTTTCACATTCTTGTTCTGCCCCCACAATTTCCCCCACCCGCCTCCCCTGGCCCAGCAAACGCGGTTGCTGCCTACTCGCCGCTTCCAACCCTTTTCCATTTCCGCGCCATTCACAGCCACACCCCAACGCGGTTCCCGACAAATCATATCACGCTGGAGCCACACCCCTCTGGAGATTGGCAACGTGAACGAAATCAACATCGCCACATCAGCTCCGCTCCGCCAAGAAGCGCAACGCGCGAGTCTACCCTCCCCCTCCGTTCCCATCCCATCCCAACCAGACATTGTACAAAACGAGCCCCCCACCTTCACAATTTCAAACCACTCCAGTCGTCCAACAGACACCAGTGTGGACGGACCAACAACCAACACCTACAGCTTCCACAACAGCTAGACAATCTCGCCTGAGCAGAAACAATCTTTTCTGAGCAGAAAGACAGCCCCTTCTTGAGCTGCTTCTCAACGTGGCCAGCTAGTTTAATCTGGCTTCTTGATAACTCTTGTTCCAACTACCGATAGGTTTTTTATTTTCAAGGACGAACCCCGCTCTCCTCGCTTCTCTCTCGTACGAAACCAGATTTCTCTGCTCTCGAGCGTCACCAATTTCAGTCGCTTTTCTCCAAGATTTCAGTCGATTTTCTCATCATCAGCCATGGCCTCGACTCCTATAATCCGTCCGCGTCCCACAGCCGAGCTCTTCGCGCGTTACGCCTTCACAGAGACAATCGGCCAGGGCCATTTCGGAAAGGTGTGGCGCTGCCTCGACCGCACAACGGGCGAGGCGCTCGCGTGCAAGCAAGTGCGCAAGACCGGCCTTTCCGAGAACGACCTAGCCGACCTCGAGCGCGAAATCTCCGCAATGCAGCTGCTGCAAGGGCACCGCCACGTTCTCGCTCTGCGCGGGCTTTTCGAGGATACTAATAACGTGTACATGATCACGGACCTGTGCACGGGAGGCGATTTGTTCGACTTGATCGCGCGCACGGGCGGGCTCGACGAAGACACCGCGGCGCGGCTTTTCGCGCAGATCGCGCAGGGCGTGCGATGGTGCCACGTGCACCGCGTCGTGCATCGCGACATCAAGCCCGAAAACATCCTACTCGCTAAATCGCCTGCGTCGTCGTCGACGGCGTCACACTCCGCCGCCTCTAACACCACCGCCGCCAAATCCGCCTCCGCCGCCGCCGCTGACGGGCTCGACGCGTGCCTCGCGGATCTGGGCCTCGCGTTCCAACTCGCGCCCGGAACAGCTATTATCGGCGTCGCTGGGAGCGCGCCGTACGAGGCGCCCGAGGTGCTCGCACGACAGCCGTACGATTTCAGCGCCGACATCTGGTCGCTCGGCGTGCTCCTCTACTCCATGCTCGCCGCTGGTTGGCCCTCGTTCCCCAACAACCGCCGCCAACTGCGCCCAGCCGTCGATTTCGCCGACGCCCCGTGGCAAACGATCTCGCGCGAGGCGAAAGATCTCATCCGTCGGATGCTGACCCAGGACCAGTTTGAACGGCTCGATATCCACGGCGTGCTGCAGCACCCCTGGCTCGCGTCGCGCCTCGCCGCCATCAGCCAGAAGCGCAGAGCCACCGCCGCATCCCCCGCCACAAAAACCGCCGTCCCCGCCGCCGTTCCGGCACCGCAGAAAACGGCGCAAAAGCCTCCGCACCAGCCGCGGGAGGTTGAGCGCGACGCGCGGGAGGAGTTGAAGCAGTTGAAGCAGCAACACAGGGCGTTGTGCTCGTTTGATTCGGACAATTCCGTCGACTTCGACAGCCACGAATCGCTCCTCCCCGCTCTCCTCCCGGTGCCGACCGACGCAAGCTTCGCCAGGGAGTCGTGCGGAAATGCCGCCGAGGAGTGCGACGCGCGTAACCCTAAATCGTGCCTTCCGCCCACCTCCGCCGCCGCTTCTGTCCGCAGAGCCGGCAACGATAGCCGCGAAAGCAGCGCGTCTAGCTTTGACTTCGTTCCGTCGCATTCGTCGTTCTCGACTACATCGTCCGCATCGTCCGCGTCGTCCGTCGCGGAGGTTGCGCAAACTACTGGTGCCGCGACGTGCAAGAATTGCCCCGCCCCACATGTTTCGGGCGTTGACTTGCTAGCGGCCTAAATGCTTTGAATATTACTGCTTTGATACTTCAGTTCTATACATGATTTTCTTGTATATTTTAAATATTCATATTCATTCTTTTGCCAATTAAGCATGTAAAACGCTTTACTTCATTCTGTTCTATTGTGCACTGTTTTCTAACACTAGCATAAAATGGGTGGATGCCGTTTGATTATGGTGTATTGGGATGCCTTACTGAGAAGACTGGGAGAAGACTCAGATTTAGAATGGCAACACACATTCCTTTCCCCCATTCCTAGAACCAACTCTTCAACATCCACTTTCCAGCACTCCCCTTCCATCACCCATTTCCGCCTGGTACAAGGTGGGAGGTGACAACCTGTGTGTCACGGGGTGTGTTCTGAGATTAATCACAAGGTGTCTCACCACCAGGTCCATCATGACGGGCGTCGACACTTGTGTCAATGGGAGTGTCACGTGGTGCACCACGAGATGTGTCACCAGGTCCGTCACGAGACGTGTCACGAGGTGCGACACTAGGTGCACCATGAGGTGCATCACATGGTGCATCACGGGGTGCATCGCATGGTGCATCACGGGGTGCATCACACGGTGTGACACGGGGTGCATCATGGGGTGTGTCACTGGGTGCATCACGGGGTGTGGGTGCAGTTCTCTCCCTCGCCCTGCGCTGCTGCTGTGCCTCAATGCGGCTCCATCCCAAATCGGAGAGAGGAATGCACATGGAAGCAGCCAAACCTAGCAAACACTTGTTATAAGAGAAATCCGAGCACGCAGGAGGGGCGGGAACAGGGGGAGGGGGAGAAGAGAGGATAGGAGGAGCGGGAACGGAAGGAGGAGGAGGTGGTGGCAGGGAGGGAGATGGAGGGGATGCAGTGGGAGAGGTGGTCAGCTGGGAAGGTTGGGGAGGTGAGGCAGGGAGCGTGGAGGGGGAAGCAGGGCGATCTCGGGAGAATTTGGGAGAGTGATGAGGAGAGTCTCCTGCATGCTCATTGGCTGAGTCAGTAAGGGGAGGATGGACGATGGCGTCAGCAGCAGGGTGGTCGACGTCAGCAGAAGGGTGGCTGGCGTCAGCGGCAGGGTGGATGACGTCAGCTGCAGGGTGGACGATGAAAAAGCAGGTGGTGTTGGGATGTTCTGGATGATGGTCAACCTGTGGGGGTGGTGAGAGGGGGAGGGGGGGAGTGGCAGGGGGGGGAATGGGACAAATGATGGCAGTGGCAGGGTGGACGATAAAGAAGCACGTGGTGTTTGGGTGGTCCGGATGGTGGTCCACCTGCGGGGGTGGTGATAGGGGGAGGGAGGGGGGTAGGGAGAGGGAGGGTAGAGGGAGGCAATTACAAGACAGGAAGACACAAAGAAGCACGTGGCGTTTGGGTGCTCCGGATGGTGGTCCACCTGTGGGGGTGGTGAGAGGCGGCGGGACGGAGGGAAGGAGGGGCAGGGGGAGGAGGAAGCACTCACGTTACAAGGTGAGAAAACACAAGTGAGAACGGTGCTGGGTGCTCTAGAGTGTGGTGGAGTGTGGTGGGGTGGGGTCCTTGCAGAGATAACAGAGGGAAAACGACTCTGTTATTTTTTTGTTGGAATGTGCAACACTCCACCCTCTCACGCACCTTGATCGCCGCCACGCCAGCAGCCATCTTCTCCTGCGCACTGGGATGATGCTGCAGCAGCTTGCTCACAACGAAGTCACGGTCGTCCTCAGATAGCGCCTCCCCCGGTTGGTACCTCATGTGCAGCAGCTCCCATGCCTTGCGCCTCACTGCCTGTAACATGTCCATCGCATCGTACCTCCCATCGCCCTCGTCTCCCATGTACATCCGCACTGCCCTGCCCCTCCCTTGCTGCTGCCGCTGCTGGTGTTGCTGCTGTGGCAATGCTTCGTGCTGCCTGTCGCCCTCTTTGCTTTTTGCTGCACCTGCTGCTGCTCCGGTGTTTTCACAGCGGACCAGGCCCCAACCTGTCTCATTAACCTCCCCGATATCAGCTTCAGGAGTAACACCAGGTTCAGCTGCAGCAGTATCATCATGCGCCTTGGCTTCAGATGAAACAAGACCAGCAGGAGGAACAGACGTGGCTGCGTTATCAGCATCAAAAGCAGCAGCGGTTTCAGCATTAGCAGCAGCAGCAGGAGGAGCTGGAGTATCAGCATCAGCATGCCCCTCCTCCTTGCCTACTTCCTTCTTGCGCTCCCTCCATTGCTTCAGCTGCTCTGCAAGCACTTGTCGCAGGCTCACCCCTTCCGCTGTCACCTCTTGCCCCCCCTCTGCCCTCACTTCTCCCGCCTCTGCCCTTGTACCTGCCCCTTCTGCCATCTCTTCTGCCCCTTCGTCTGCCTTCCTTTCCGCCCTTTCTTCTCCCTTATCTACTGCCCCTACTTCTCCCCTCTCTTCTGCCTTCCCTTCTGCCCCTTCTGCCCTCTCTGCCCTCTCTGCCCCCTCTGCCTTCTGCTCTGCTTTCTGTCCGCACCGGTCAAGGAAGACGGGCAGAGAGGACGGGTGCAGACCCGGCAGCATGGCTGTTGGGTGCTGTGACAGGGACGAGGCCAGGGAGGCAGCTAGAAGGGGAGGGGGAGGCGGAAGGGATGGAGGAGGAGGAGGAGGAGCGAGGGTGTTGGTCTCCGGAGTGGGAGTGTCATGGGGGAGTAGGAGAGGAGGGGGAGGGGGAAGAGGGAGGTGAGTTGACTCACGAGCTGGAAGGGGAGGAGGAGGAGGGAGGTGTGAAGATGAATCGGGGAAAGGTGGCGGAGGAGGAGGAGGAAGAGGATGAAGAGACGAGTCATTTCCAGATGCAGTTCCATCATTCGCCTCTTCATTCGCCCCTCCATTCGCCTCCCCGTCTCCCTCTCTCCGTGCACCCAAGAGCACCCCCAGCAGGGACCCCAGCAGGGACTGGGCCAGGGGCAGGTCAGAGCAGAGGAGAGGGTGGATGTGTCGGCGGGGCCGATAGTACATGGGGTGGTTGGGCGTGTGAGAAGTGTTGGTCTTGCGCTTGGGATGCCGCTGGTGAGAGGGAGTGGTTGCAATGGGTTGAGAGCTCTGGTGCTTCGCTCCTGTGTCGCCCCATCCTCCCCCGCCCTCGCTCTCCCCCCCCCCTACATTCCCCCATCCCCCTCCGCCCTCACTTCTTCCACCCCCTGCATTACCCCATGCTCCCCCATCCTCACCCGCGTCTCCTCCTGCCTTCCCCCATCCATCCGCACTCTCCCCTTCTCCTCCCGCCCCCCACCCTCCCTTATTTCCCTGATCACTGCCCCACCCTCCAACTCCCCCCTCACCCGCTTCTCCTCCTCCTCCTCCTGCTTTCCCCCATCCACCTGCACTCTCCCCTTCTCCTCCCGCCCCCCACCCTCCCTTTTGCCCTTGATCGCTGCCCCACCCTCCAACTCCCCCCTCCGCATTTCCCCACCCTGCCCCCACGCCCCCTTCCCCCTTACCATCCCCTCCTGCGACCTCTTTCCCCCCAGCATCTCCCCCCTTGCCCCACGTTCCCTCTCCGCCCGCACCTCCCCACCCTCCCCCTGCCGCCGCCCCTGCTATCTCCTCTTTTTTCCTCTCCGCCTCTCTCCCCCACCCACCACCTTCATTGTCAGTACTACCCCATCCGCCTCTCTCCTCCTTCTCACCAGCACCACCAGCAGCAGCATCACCCCCTGAAGCACCTCCCTCCTTCTCACCCCCCTCCCACCGTCGCACTCTCCCGCCACCCCACAGAGGCTCCACAGTGCCCCACCGCCCCAGCCTGAACCGCCGTCGCCCCTTCCCCCTGCCCCCCTGCCCGCCACCCCCCATGCACAGCAGCTCAGCCAGCGCAGCCTCATGTAGCGCCTCCTCCTCTCCCTCCCACTCCTCCCACCTTTCCTCCTCTTCCCACCCACCTTCCACCTCCCTTTCTTCCACCCCTCCCTGGCCCCATGCGTGAGCATGCCTGCCCTCACGTTCCGTACTGTCACCCCCCCAAGTGCCTCCTTCTCTCCTGTTCCCCCTACCTCCGTATCCCCTTCCTCTTCTTCCTCCGCCTCTGCCCCCCTCTTCACGTCCCCAGGGTTTACCACCTTCCCCATCCCCAGGGGATTCCCCCTCTCCCCCCCATCTCCCCCCTCGGCCCCGTCCTCTTCCCCTTCCCCTCCCCCCACGGCCACCCTGCCATCTCTCACCCCCTCCTCCCTCCCATCCCCTCTCACTATCTTGCTCTCGCACACTCCCTTCCACTGCATCCCATCCCCCACCTTCCTTGCCCTCCTCATTTCCCTCACTTCCCTTAACCGCGCCCCATCCGTCTTTCCCTGATTCCTCCTCTCCCGCTTTTCTTCCCCCCGCCTCTCTCCCTCCCCCCCAAGCACCTCCCTCGGCCTCTCCCTCTCCCCCCCATGCACCTCCTTCCTTCTCCGTCTCCTTCCCCCATCCCCCTTTCTCCCCATCTGCACCACCCCAGCCACCTCCCTCCCTCTCTCTCCCTTTCGACCCTCCATCCCCCCACCCGCCTCCCCCTCCCCCATCCTCTCTCCCTCCTGCCGTGTCCCATCCTCCCCCCTCTTTCTCTCCACTTCCTCCCCACCCACCACCACCCCCTTCCCCTCCCCCACCGGTGCCCCAACCTCCCTCCTCTTTCTCTCCACTCTTTCCCCACGCACCACCATCCCCCTCTCCCCCTCCTGTACCCCATCCTCCCGCCTCTTTCTCTCCACTTTTTCCCCACCCACCACCATCCCCTCCCCCTCCCCCTGTGCCCCATCCTCCCCCCTCTTTCTCTTCGCTCTTCCCCCAAGCACCACCATCCCCTCCCCCTCCTCCAGTGCCCCATCCTCCCCCCTCTTTCTCTCCAATCGCCCCCCACCCATCACCATCCCCTCCCCCTCCCGTGCCCCAACCACCCTCCTCTTTCTCTTCGCTCTTCCCCCAAGCACCACCATCCCCTCCCCCTCCGCCCGTGCCCCATCCCCCTCCCCCTCCACCTGCGCTTCCTCCCCACCCACCACCATCCCCTCCCCCTCCACTGCCCCATCCCCCGTCACCAGCAACAGCAGCAGCACCCTCACCACCCCTCCAACTATTAGCACCCCCACTGGCCCACCCACTAGCAGCAGCACCACCCCACCCACCAGCAGCACCACCACCACCAGCAGCTGCAGCACCAGCGGCACCAGCTTTAGCTGCTTCTGCTGCAGCAGCTGTGGCAGCAGGAACAGGACCAGGAGGAGGCGGGGGGAGTGGGGCGTGGAGGATCAGATCGAAGCACGGGGCGGCGGTGCCAGCTGGCATGGGCTTGCCGGCCGCCACGCTGGCAACGACGCTCGCCAGGCTGTCAGACGCGTGCTGGATGGCTGCTGACGTGAACGTGCGCACAGGGTCCTGATTCAAGCGAATCGGAAGAGGGGGATGGGGGGAAGAGAGGAGGGGGGAAAGGGCAATCGAGTGGAGTAGAGGAGAAGAGCTTTGAGGTGCGCCTGTCTGTCAGACGCATGCTGGATGGCTGCTGACGTGAACGTGCGCACGGGGTCCTGTTTTGGGAAAGAGGGATCGGGGACAGGGAAACCCCGGGGAGATTCAATGAGTGGAGGAAGACAGCTCTAAGGTGCGTCTGTGGGAGGCGTGCTGGATGGCTGCTGACGTGAATGTGCGCACAGGGTCCTGATTTGGGAGAGTTTAGAATGGACCAGGGAAAGGGAAGGGAAGGGAAAAAGGGGGAAGAGGAGGGGGAAGAAAAGAGAGGTTTGAGGCATGCTGGATGGCTGCTTACGTGTATGTGCGCACAGGGTCCTGATCAGGGAGATGGGTACGGGATGAAGAGAGGAGTGGGTGGGGGAAAGCGCAAATTGGAAGGGAAAGGAGAGTGGGGAAGAGAGCTTTGACACGTGCTGGATGGCTGCTGACGTGAACGTGCGCACCGGGTCCTGATGCAAGCGGAAAAGACGAGGGGTGGAAAGTAACAGGAGAGGGAAGAGGAGAGAGGGGGCGAGGAAGGCCGAATCACATTCCCGCACAATTTAAGGCAGGGTGGAGATGGAAAAACAAAAATACAACATATGTATGCGTATTTGTAATATTTATAGAACACAACTCACCTTGACACACGCCCTGAGGAAGGGCGAGGAGGCGGGGTGGGAGGCGAGGGCAGCGAAGGACACGCCCTGGAGAGTCCCTGTGACGGTCATCCAGTCCGTTACCAACGCGAGATGTCGCAGTGGCACCTTCGCCCCTGCTTCCCTCATCAGCTCACACAGTCGCTGATGGGAGGGAAGGTGTTTGTATGGGGTTGATGGAAAGAGAAAGCATGTGTGTAGAGATGAGATTAGAGGAAGGAGATTGATGTTTTTTATGAAGGAAGTGAAGAGACGATCATTCAAAGAAGCGTTGGGATGTGCGACGAGTCAGTCTTGCATAATTGAGCAGCAGAGTACGTAGCAAAACAAAGCAATCGCACACCACGATGAGATGCGGGTCCGTTGTTTGTGGCATGTTGCGGGAAAGCAAGAAAGATTGATATTGCGTCGTTGATAGGGGGCTGATAGAAGACGATCCAAATCCGATGTTGGCGCCTAAAAACTCCAAAGGAAAGAGGCAAGAGCAGGCACGAGCAATCTCCTGCCTCTTCCTGTTGGAGTTTTGAGGCGGCGACATAAGACTTGACGAATCTCCTCTCTGTCTCCTGCCAGTGGGACTATATCAAACTCCTCTCTCCAACAAGCCACGAGCAATGGACCCTCACCTCAACGTGGTGTGTGGTAGAACATTAGGATGACCTCCCTACTGGCCGAGAGAGGTCGGAATACTTAATGTCATCAAAACCATCTTTCCAGTTGAATGGTGTTACGCATGGATTGGACTGCTCTAATACCCTGCTATGGCAACAGCTTGCTGTGCATTACATTGTTAGATTGACCTTATATATTAGATTGGGAGTGAGAGTGACAGAGGGAGGGTGGGATCCAAACGGGGGTGAGAGAGATGTGTAGAGGGAGGGATGGGGAGGGGAAGAGAGAAGGACAAGGAGACAAAGAGGGGTGGTTACTCACGTGAAACAGCACGGAGCGAGCAGCTTCGATGCCAAGGAACTCAGCGATTTGCTGCAATCCCTCCGGGCGCCTCTTGGTCCAGTCAATGCCAATCAGCAGCCGTACAGGCAGCAGTGATGCCCGGCCACACAGCAAGGGCGAGGGGGGCAGAGTGAGGGGTGGTTACTCACGTGAAACAGCACGGAGCGAGCAGCTTCGATGCCAAGGAACTCAGCGATTTGCTGCAATCCCTCCGGGCGCCTCTTGGTCCAGTCAATGCCAATCAGCAGCCGTACAGGCAGCAGTGATGCCCGGCCACACAGCAACGGCGAGGGGGGCAGAGTGAGGGGTGGTTACTCACGTGAAACAGCACGGAGCGAGCAGCTTCGATGCCAAGGAACTCAGCGATTTGCTCCAATCCCTCCGGGCGGCTCTTGGTCCAGTCGATGCCGTCACTGCAGTCAGCAGCTGCACACGCAGCAGCGATGCCCGGCCACACCGAACGCTGGGAGGAGAGGGAGACAGCGAGGGCGAGATGTCCAATGTCGTTAGTGCTGCTGCTGCTCTTGTTGTTGTCACTGTTGTGACTGCTGCGGTTGCTGTTGCTGTCGTCCCCATCCTGCCATTGAATGTGTGCCGCGTTAATGGCCATGCTGCCTGCTTGTTTCAGTCGCACGTGGCAATCACAAATCACAAGCCCAGCCACGCACGCAAACACACAGACACAGACACAGACACAGACACAGTCGTGAGGACAAAAAGAATGCACAGTTGGCAACCAACTAGTTAGGCTGGATGAGCCAGATCGCTGCACAGACTCTCTCAAAACACAAGGCTGTTCTGAGTGTTCTCAAGAACAGCCTGGAACAGCTTTTTGAATCGACTCGAAAATTGCACTGATCGAAAACACAAAGGCTGTTTTAAGTGATTCTCAACAACAGCTTGGAGCAGCTCACCTGCAACCATTGTGTTGAGCACACTGGGCACAACCACGTCCCTCAGCGCCTCCAAATCAAACAGCGCTCCCCACTTGCCATCATCCTCTCCTCCCTCTGCCTCCTCCTCCTGCCTCCCAACACCCCTCCCATCCCTCCCTCCACTTCTCCGTGCCAACCCTCTCAGAGCTGGTCGTGCGAGCACCACATGCACACAGGCGCCTTGGGAGGTGGAGGAATCAGTGGGGTCACGGCAGGATGGGAGCAGACAGCGGGACCTGACGGGATGGGATGGGCGCGGAGAGGTGGGGGAGTTAGGAGGCCTCTCAGCTCTCAGGGCTAGCTGGTCGTGCGAGCACCACATGCACACAGGCGCCCTGGGACGTGGAGGAATCGGTGGGGTCACGTCAGGATGGGAGCAGACAGCGGGACCTGAGGGGATGGCACGAGCGGGGAGAGGAGGGGCAGGGGAGAGAGGAACGCAGAAAGGTGGGGGAACAAGGAAGAAGGAGACTAGTAAGTGGGTCTGCTGGGCCAATGTGCAGGTGGGTGGGGAAGTGAGAGGGAGTGTGTGTGTCTGCACGTGTGCATGTGTGTGCGCGTGTCTATGTGTGCGTGATGTGTGTGTATGAGCAAAAGCGTGAGTGTGATCAGTGGTTGGCTTGGCAGGGACAGAGGTAGCAGACGGGGAGGGGTGTGTACAGTGGAGTTTACTTGAACACGCTGACATCGCGATGCTGACTCAGCACTGATGACTCAGCACTGGTGAGTCAGCACGAATCCACTCACTTGATGTCCACGTGCATCAGATGCACCAGGTCCCCTGCCCCACACGCCTTCCCCGTCCTCTCCATATGCCACATGTCAAGGTGTGATTGGACGGCTGCCCTCACAGCTTGATGGATGGCGGCTGTAGGATCAGGGAAGCGAGTTGCTGGAAGACAAGCAAATGCCTTGGCTACTGCGTCCTGTGGTGAGGAAATACAACAAGGGGAACGCATGGAAAGCACGGGGAAAATGCGAGGGTAACGTATGGCAGGCAGTCATCTGGCATGGCTCCTTGGAGAACATAGCAGAGGAATAAAACCAAAGCTGGTCAAACAGCGGATGGTGCATCCACCAGAATGCCTCTTAGAGTCCTGTACTCTCCTCACTCCCACCCTTGCGCAAACCCCTCCTCACCATCACCCCTCTCCTTCACAGCGCAACCTTTCTCACCTCCGACAGTCGAATGTGCGCCCGCCAGCACGCCTCCTCCACTCCTGCCCTCTCCTCACTCACACCCTCGTGCCCACCCCTCTCCATCACTCTGTTTCATGCAATTACACGTTCACACATCACAATCTTTCTCACCTCTGACAGCCGAATGTGCACCCGCCAGCACGCCTCCTCCACTCCTGCCCTCTCCTCCACTCCTGCCCTCTCCTCACTCACATCCTCGTGCCCACCCCTCTCCATCCCTCTGTTTCATGCAATTACACGTTCACACATCACAATCTTTCTCACCTCTGACAGCCGAATGTGCACCCGCCAGCACGCCTCCTCCACTCCTGCCCTCTCCTCACTCACACCCTCGTGCCCACCCCTCTCCATCACTCTGTTTCATGCAATTACACGTTCACACATCACAATCTTTCTCACCTCTGACAGCCGAATGTGCACCCGCCAGCACGCCTCCTCCACTCCTGCCCTCTCCTCCACTCCTGCCCTCTCCTCACTCACATCCTCGTGCCCACCCCTCTCCATCCCTCTGTTTCATGCAATTACACGTTCACACATCACAATCTTTCTCACCTCTGACAGCCGAATGTGCACCCGCCAGCACGCCTCCTTCACTCCTGCCCTCTCCTCCTCCCATCCTCTCCCGGCCCCTCTGCTCCCCTTTCCTGCCCCTCCTTTCCCTCTCTCCCCACTGCGTCCGTCTCTCCCTCTCTTCCTTCCCCTTCCACCGGCCCCCTGCTGCTGCCTTTCTGCATCCTCCTTCTGTCTCTGCCTCTCCTTCTCGCCCCTTGCTTTTGCTTCACTTGCTTGCACTCCCTCGTCCCACCGCCTAAGCTCCCTTCTCCGGTATCTGAAAGGGGAAAAGATGGGGGTTGGGGGTGGTTTCGGCAATCCTCAACAACCACTCATTTTTGCTTCACTTGCTTGCACTCCCTCATCCCACCGCCTCAGCTCCCTCCTCTGGTACCTGAAAGGGGAAATGTTGTGCCGGAGGATGGGGATACGAGAGAGAAAGGGAACAGTGGCTGGAAGTGAGAGAAGGAGAGGGGACTTGGAAAGTACTATGGGAAATAGGCCACCCACAGAACCTCATGCCTGGACCAGAGGAAGAAAAACAAAGCACTCCTGAAAGACACGCGGCCTTTGATTCGATTGAAAAACAGATTGCCTTATGTGTCAACTACAAGAACAGATTTGTCCGTCTATGCCTGATATGCAAGGGCACTCACTCAATCATGACGTGCGACGCCAGCTGCCTGACGCGCAGAGGCAGCAGCCGACCCTGCCAGAGCCAACCGACAGTCTGCAGCAGCAGCAGCAGCAGCAGAAGCAACTGGTGCTCGTGCTGGTGCTGATGGTGCTGCCTTACCCTTGTACCCCATTCCACTCACTCGATCATGACGTGCGAGGCCAGCTGTCTGACGCGCAGAGGCAGCAGCCGACCCTGAGTTGCCAGAGCCAAGCGACAGTCCGCAGCTGCGGAGGAGGCGCCGTTGCTGTCGTTGGTAGGTGCGGTGGCATGAGCAGGGAGGAAGCGCAGCAAGACTGTCAGAGAGGAGTCAGTTGCGTAGAGAAGTCGCTGGAGGGAGGGTACAGAGGAGTAGGGTAGGGGCAGGGGGTACGGACAGGGAAGAACAGGAACAATGGACTTGAAAGAGTTGGAGGCAATGGAGAGATAAGACACATGGAGAAGGCAGCAGAACAAGGGAAAACGCTTGATCCACCAATTCGCCCTGGTTGGATTAAAGTAGCATTCTGGACCTCGTTTTGTTGTCAACTTTTTTATTGACCACACGCACCTCCAGGCGAGCAATGAGGGACGAGGCGCCACCATGCACGCCGTCATGCCCCACGTTGAGCAGCATCTGTGTGGCTGGAGCAGACACTGCTTCTCCCAAGACACACAGTACCAATCTTGCTTCTCCCTTTCCTCACCTCCAGGCGGGCAATGAGGGACGAGGCGCCACCATGCACGCCGTCATGCCCCACGTTCAGCACCATCTGATCTTCCAAGACTTTTATTACCACGGTTGCTTTTCCCTTTCCTTTCCTCACCTCCAGGCGGGCAATGAGGGAGGAGGCGCCACCATGCACGCCATCATGCCCCACATTCAGCACCATCTGTGTGGCCGGCGCCGACGCTGCTTTATGACCGGCATTCATATTCATCTCACCGTCATCTCACTGTCTCACACGCCCCTTTCCTCCTTTCTCACCTCTAGCCGCGCAATGAGGGAAGAGGCGCCACCGTGCACGCCGTCATGCCCCACGTTCAGCACCATCCGAGTGGCCGGGGCAGACACTGCTTGTATGAACATGACAGAGAGTGAACAAGACTCATTTTCTTTCTCACCTCTAGCCGGGCAATGAGGGAAGAGGCGCCACCATGCACGCCGTCATGCCCCACGTTGAGCACCATCTGTGTGGCCGGGGCAGACACTGCTTGCGCCGCTGCCATCCCCACTGCATCTCCTGCTTCTGCCCATGCACCCACATGCTTCCCCACCTCCCTCCTCCCACCCCACTTCTTCTCCTCCACCTTCTCATTTCCCTTCTTCGTGCCCTTCTGCCCAACTTTTTCCTTCCCCTTCCCCTTGTCTCTCCCACTCTTGCCCTTCCCAGATTTACCTCCCAGCCTTGCTTCCTCCCTCTCCTCGCCCCTGTCCCCGCCCTCGCCCTCCTCCTCCACCCCCAACCGCCCATAGGACAGCTGTACGACCATACCTCCCTTCCCTCCTCCCCCTCTTCCTCCCACTCCTCCTCCAATCCTCGCAGACCCATCATACCCCACCACGATATCCCTAAGCGTTTCCCTCAGCTTCCTGGACAGCTCACCCGGCCGAGCCACGCTCGTAGCCTCGGCAACCAGAGCAGGCCTGGCCGAAGCTGCGGCTCGGAAGAGCTCCCGAGCCGAAAGCCCCGTCAGCAGAGAGCCTCGGGCTAAGCCTAGCCCCAAGCCTTGGAAAGCGGCATGAGCAGGAGAAGGGGGATGAACAGGAGCAGGGGCATGAGCAGGAGCAGGAGTAGGGGGATCAGCAGGGGGGACAGCAGCAGGGTCATGGGCAGGGACAGGTGGTGCCTTTGGAGAAATAGAGTTGGCAGGGTCTTTCTTGTGTAACAATCCTGGAGTGGAGAGTTTCAGCTTAATCGGATCGAGGACATAAGGAGAATGGGGCAGGGAGTGGGCTGCGCGGTGGGGCATCTCTGTGTGTTGAGGCTGCACCTGCTGGGCAATCACCTTGGGCGAGCCCTTGCTGCCAGCCCCCAACATCTCTCTCACCGCATTGCCCCGTGGAAACAAGGGCGAGGCACGCGAGAAGAGCGGTGGAGCAGGGGAAGGAGAAGGAGCAGGAGGAGCGGAGGCACTGGCAGCAGCAGCAGCAGTAACAGGCAGGCCACAGAAATCCGAGAGGCCGGCACTGAAGCCGGCGATTGATGACAAGTAGTTCACCGCAAGGGCCTGCACGCCCGCCAGGTGGCGCGCCGCCATTGGCGGATGGTGTTGCCAGATGGCTGCCAGCAGGCCGTCGCTGCCACCCCTGAGCCACCGAGACTCCTCGCCCACCTCCACCTCCTCCTCCACCTCCACCTCCTCCTCTTTTTTACCCTCGCTTCCTACCTCCTTGTTACCACTTCTTTCCTCCTCCCTGTCCTCCTCTTCTTCCTCCTCCATCACCACCTTCAACCCCCCACTCTCCTCCTCACTCTTTCCCTGCTCTCTGTTCGTCCCCTCATTCCCACGCCTCTTCTTCCAACCCTTCCCCACCCCCATGCGACCATGCTCATTCACGAAAACCACCTCCCCCTGATGCACCCGCACGCCGCACCCACGGTGCTGGAAGCACAGGGTAGGGGGGATTACGGTGGAGAGGAGCTGAAGGGACGTCCAGAGGGGAGGTGCAGGGGGAGGAGGATGGTGGCTGTTGCTGTTGCTGCCTGGGAAAGGGTATTTTAGAATGGCTGGTGGTGGCAGCGGAAAATAGGGATTCTTTGTTGCTGCTCCTGCTGCCTTCCCTTCGTCCTCTGCACGTTCCCCTTCCCACTCTTTATCATCCACAACAACAATCACCCTTCCTCCTTCATCACCATCCCCTCCCCACCCCGCTCCCCCTCTCCCCCCTCTTCCACCCCTCCTTCCCCGCCTGCTCCTCCAATCCCAGCCATCCCCCTTACCCCCTCCCCCTGTCACCAGCCCCATTCCCTCCCGCGCATGCAGGGCAAGCTGGGTGGCGTCTGGGCGGGAGAGGAAGAGAGATTGGGAGGAGGGGGGCGGGGAGGCGAGGAGGTGCAGACCCAGCAACGCGTCCTGCTGGAGAGACATGACCGCTGGGTCGTGGTGCGGGGCGTGGGTGTGAGGGGTGTGTGGGTGAATGGAGGAGGAGGAGGAAGAGTAGCAAGAGCAGCGGGCGGAGGAACGGGAGGAGGTAGCAGCAGCTGCTGCTGCTGTGGTGGTAGCAGGACGGGGCAATGAGCAACCAGGTGAGGGAGGACGCGAAGGTTCAAGGGGAGGAGGAGGAGGGAGGGACATAGGGGTTAGTGAAGGAAGCGGGAGGGAGGGGAAGAGCTGTTTGTCGACGGGCATGAGCTCTGCTGCCTCTGCTGCCACGGCACTCTGCTGCACCGTGAACACATTCACTTCATCTCCATCGAAGTCCCCTGCTATTGCGGCACACACCTGGTAGAGGGAGGGCGGGGGAAAAGGCGGGGGGATTGTGAAATGGGAGCGCTCTGCTGCACCATGAACACATTCACCTCGTCTCCATCAAAGTCCCCTGCTATTGCTGCACACACCTGGTAGAGGGAGGGAGAGGGAGAAAAAGAAGGAGTTTGTAAGCTCCTCTGCCTCAGCAGCCACGGCGCTCTGCTGCACCATGAACACATTCACCTCGTCTCCATCAAAGTCCCCTGCTATTGCTGCACACACCTGGTAGAGGGAGGGAGAGGGAGAAAAAGAAGGAGTTTGTAAGCTCCCCTGCCTCAGCAGCCACGGCGCTCTGCTGCACCATGAACACATTCACCTCGTCTCCATCAAAGTCCCCTGCTATTGCTGCACACACCTGCAAGGGGAGGGAGGAATGGGGGAAGGGCAAAGCAGCTTGTGAGTTCAACTGCCTGTGCTGCCACGGCCCTCTGCTGCACCGCAAACACATTCACATTCACGTTCACTTTCACATTCACTTTCACATTCACATTCACATTCACATTCACATTCACATTCACTTTCACATTCACTTTCACATTCACTTTCACATTCACATTCACTTTCACTTTCACATTCACATTTACATTCACAATCACATTCACATTCACATTCACATTCACATTCACATTCACATTCACTTTCACATTCACAATCACATTCACATTCTCATTCACAATCACATTCACAATCACATTCACATTCACATCCACATTCACATTCACTTTGACGGAGCACCGTGGCAGCAGGGGTCAAAGTTTTTTTGCTATCGCAGCACACACCTGCGGATTGAGCAGAAGCGCGTTGGCAGAGACGGCAGCCGGCACGCGGCGCACCCGAAAGGCCATCAGATTCTGCTTGTGCAGTGAGGGCGTGCAAGAGCGAATCAACACGGTCACCCACACACATGGTAAAGGGTCTTACCTGGGGGTTGAGCAGGAGCGCGTTGGCAGAGACGGCAGCCGGCACGCGGCGCACGCAGAGCTTTCTACCTGTGGCAGGCAGTTTCTGAGAAAGTCTCAAGAACCACTCACCCACACATGTCATATGGGATATGGTCATACCTGGGGGTTGAGCAGGAGCGCGTTGGCAGAGACGGCAGCAGGCACGCGGCGCACGCGGAACGCCATGAGGTTCTGCTTGTGGAGCGAGGGCGTGCGGTTGAGCAGCAGCCAATCGCCATCCGCCAAGTGGCGCAGCACCGTCATCCCCACCACCCTCCCCTCACCACCACCATCCCCACCACCACCATCCCCACCACCGCCACCAAAACCATTACCGCCAGCACCAGGAGCAGCACCAGCACCACCAGCAGCACCAGCAGGGGCAGTGGTTGCGGTTCCAGCAAGCAGGGCAGACCTCACAAAGGCTGCAAGTGCCGCAGATGCACGCTCCGATGCAGAAGGTGCGTCTGGGGTAGGTAGACCTGATGCAGGTGCACCTGAGCCTGGCCCAGTTCCCACCTGCAGGGTCAAGCCACGATCCACCCATCGGCTCAGAGTCATCTTGATCCACTCTGGCGTGCCGCCATTGGCCGAGGCTCCTCCTGTGATTCCTCCTGTCGCTCCTCCAGCAGGATCAGAGCCAATGAGCACGCTGAACGCACCAACAGGTGGCAGGACGTGGTTGGGTGGGCGAGGAGGGCGGCGATCGGACGAAGGGGACGCTGCAGGGGGTAGGGTTGCATCAGGTGCTGTGCCCCCCCAGGCATTACCACCTCCAGTAGTAGTAGCAGTAGGTGATTTGCCCCAGCCATCACCACTTGCACCAGCAGCACCAGCAGTAGCAGTAGCAGTACCGTCATTCCCTCCCCATCCACCAGCGTTATCACCACCAGCATCATTGTTGCCCCACCCTGTAGCAGCGGCAGCACCAGCACTGGCATCAGCACCCCAACCACCAGCACCGCTACCACCACCACTGGCACCGTTATTCCCCCAGCCTGCAGCACCACCAGCATCAGCAGCACCACTACCCCATCCACCAGCATTACCTCCAGCATTACCACCAGCACTGGCATCATTGTTCCCCCAACCTGAAGCACCAGCAGCAGCAGCATCAGCACCACCACCCCAACCACCACCACCATTATCATCCCCATTCTTTCCCCCGCCTGAAGCACCAGAACCACCACCAGCAGGAGCATCAGCAGCACCACCCCAACGACCACCACCACCATTATCCCTATCATTCTTCCCCCACCCTGAAGCACCAGCATCAGCCGCCGCAGGTGCATTCGCAGCATCAGCAGCACCACCACCCCAACCACCAGCATTATCGTCAGCAGTAGTTGCAGTGGCAGCACCATCACCACTACCCCAACCCTCGGGAGAACCACCACCACCACCACCACTCCCTCCCCAACCACTCCCACCAACGCCACCAGCAGCAACAGCATCAGCATCAGCAGCATCACCACCATTGCCACCCCAACCACCAGCGTTTCCGCCAGTAGCGTCAGCAGCTGTAGCAGCACCGTCATTACCACCCCAACCACCGGTAGAACCAGCAGCAGCACCAGCAGCAGCAGCACCACCACCGCCACCCCTACCACCAGTGTTTTCACCAGCAGCAGCAGCAGGAGCAGCATCGTCCTTACCACCCCAACCACCAGCACCATCACTAGCAGCAGCCAAAGCGCCAGCAGCATCATCAGCACCAGCACCAACACCAGCATTAGCACCGGCGTCAGCATCAGCACTAGCACCGGAATCAGCAGCAGCACCCCATCCATTCACCCCCTCATCTCGAGGCTTCTCCCCACCCCCCTGCTCCCTCTCTCCCCATCCCCCTTGTCCTGCCGCATCTGCCTTCTCCACCTCCTCCTTCCCATCACCCTCTCCCCATCCACCTTGCATTGCTCCCTCCGCCCCCCCCGTCTTCTCCACCTCTTTCTCCCCTTCTCCCCACCCACCTTGCCCTGCTCCATCACCCTTCTCCTCTTTCTTCTCCTCGTCGTTCTCCACGGCAGCAACCTCAGCACCCCACCCATTCCCACCAGTATCAACAGCAACAGCGGCATCAGCACCCCTGCCACCAGTGGCAGCATCTGTGCCACATGCACCCCCTTCACCCCCACCCCCACCAGCAGCAGCATCAGCACCCCACCCACTCCCACCAGCACCACCCCTTTCAGCAGCGGCATCACCACCCTTCCCAGCAGCAGCATCAGAAGCACCATCCGTGCCCCATGCACCCCCTTCACCCTCACCAGCAGAAGCACCAGCCCCCCACCCACCCCCACCAGCAGCACCATCAGCACCACCAGCACCCCAGCCTGCACCACCAGCAGCAGCAGCAGCAGCAGCACCCCACCCACCAGTATTAGATGCAGCACCCGCACCCCCATTTCCACCACCCCCAGTGGCACCCCAACCCCCACCAGCAGCACCACCAGCACCCCAGCCTGCACCATGATCAGCAGCAGCAGCACCCCAGCCACCAGTATTAGCTGCAGCACCCGCACCCCCACCTCCACCACCCCCAGTGGCACCCCAACCCCCATCACCAGCACTACCAGCACCCCAGCCTGCATCAGCAGCAGCAGACACACCCCCATCCCCACCGGCACCAGCATTCCAACCAGTGGCACCACCACCACCGCCACCACAGACGTCCCCTTCCCCTCCGGTGTCCAGAGGTGGTGGGAGCGGCAGCGGGCATGGCCCCGCATCGACAAAAGCTTGCAGGAAGTCAAGGTTGAGGTGAGACACGGGCTCCTGAGGAGAGCAGAGAGAGGAGGAAAGAACGAGATGAATGGAAGGGAGAAAGGAAAGTGAGAAGGGAGGGACCGGGTGCGGTGACGGCACGGGCGGAGGACTGAGCATATAGCAAGGAGTTTACTCGCAAAGCAGCTAAGTTGCAAATAAGCTCACCTGAACAAAGAGACCAGCAGCGATGGAGTCAGGGACGCCAATCTTATGCAATGCAAGGGAGGGATCAGGTGTGATGACAGCGCGGGCGGAGGACTCGGAGGACGAGGGGCAAAGAATTTGCAAGGAGCTCAGTTACGAAAAAGCTCACTTGAACGAAGAGACCGGCAGCGATGGAGTCAGGGACGCCAATCTTATGCAATGCAAGGGAGGGATCAGGTGTGATGACAGCGCTGGCGGAGGACTCGGAGGACGAGGGGCAAAGAATTTGCAAGGAGCTCAGTTACGAAAAAGCTCACTTGAACGAAGAGACCGGCAGCGATGGAGTCAGGGACGCCAATCTTATGCAATGCAAGGGAGGGATCAGGTGTGATGACAGCGCGGGCGGAGGACTCGGAGGACGAGGGGCAAAGAATTTGCAAGGAGCTCAGTTACGAAAAAGCTCACTTGAACGAAGAGACCGGCAGCGATGGAGTCAGGGACGCCAATCTTATGCAATGCAAGGGAGGGATCAGGTGTGATGACAGCGCGGGCGGAGGACTCGGAGGACGAGGGGCAAAGAATTTGCAAGGAGCTCAGTTACGAAAAAGCTCACTTGAACGAAGAGACCGGCAGCGATGGAGTCAGGGACGCTAATCTCGTGCAGCGCGAGCGAGGGGTCCGGAGCGATGACGGCGCGGGCGGAGGAGTCGGAGGAGATGGAGCTCTCTTGCCCAGACTACCATTGGATCTATACGAAGCTCACCTGAACAAAGAGGCCAGCAGCGATGGAGTCAGGGACACCGATCTCATGCAGAGCGAGGGAGGGGTCGGGAGCAATGACGGCACGGGCGGAGGAGTCGGAGCGTTTTCCCAGGATGGCGTCGCGAATGAAGCCCTTGGAGCGAGCCGAGGAGGAGGTGCTGTGACCCTTGAAGCGCTGCTCTATGCCCAGCCCTGACTCCTGCACGATGGCCTGCGGTGATGGGGAGCGGGGTGGAGGAAAGGGGAAGAATGGGGCGGAGGGGTGCGATGATGGCACGAACAGAGGGGTGGGGTGGAGGAAAGGGGAAGAATGGGGCGGAGGGGTGGGGTGGTCCACCTGCAGCTTGGGGGGGCGCACGAAGTAGTGTTGCAGCTCCACCGGCAGCCTCTTCAGCTGACCTGGCAAATTGTTTATTGGAGCGCATGGGCACGAGGGCAGTGTAATGCGCTACAACTAATCGCACCTGGTACTGGTTGGGTGAGCGCACCTGGTACTGGTTGGGGGGGCGCACGAAGTAGTGCTGCAGCTCCACCTGCAGTTTCTTCACCCGGCAGTATATCTGATGCAACCGCACCGCCACCCCCTCCGCCCTCCCCCTCCCACTCCCCCTCTGCACCTTGTACTGGAGAGGGGAAGAGGGGGGCGTACCTTGTACTGGAGTAAGGGGGAGGAGGGGCCGCACCTGGTACTGGTTGGGGGGCCGCACGAAGTAGTGTTGCAGCTCCACCTGCAGTTTCTTCACCCGGCAGTATATCTGATGCAACCGCACCGCCACGCCTCCCCCCCTCCCACTCCCCCTCTACACCTTGTATTGGAAGGGGGGGAGAGGGGGGCGTACCTTGTACTGGAGTAGGGCGAAGGGGGCCGCACCTGGTACTGGTTGGGTGGGCGCACGAAGTAGTGTTGCAGCTCCACCTGAAGCTTCTTCACCCGGCAGTATATCTGATGCAACCGCACCGCCACCCCCTCCGCCCCGCCAAACTGCTCCCGCCGGTGCTTGCCCTTGCCATGCACCAAAGCCCCTATCTCTGCGTTCAGCCGCACCATCGCCCTCAGCCTCACTGACAGATAGTCCTGTGTTAGAGATGGGGTGGGGGAAGAGCGAGTTATTGATTTGTCCACGCCGATGCCTGCCCATGCCATGCACCCACAATCGCCGCGACTCCAAACACACCTGCAGCTTTATGAGCCCTCGATAATTCTTTTATTCAACCTATTTTTCTCACCTCCTGCTTCTCGTCGTCAGCATTCTCTGAAAAGCGCAGGTGGTGAGGCAGGACGGGCCATGCACTCACTCACGATGCCCAACTCCAAACAGACCTGCAGCGCCCTCACCAGAGGCACCTCAAGTACCACTCCATTCATTCATTCATTCCTTGTCACTCACCTCCTGTTTCTGGTCGTCATCATTCTCTGAGAGGCGCAGGTGGTGAGGCGGCACCGGCCATGCACCCACAACTCCGGATTCAAGGCACACCTGCAGCGCCCTCACCAGAGGCACACTCGCGCCCTGCCCCACCCCCACCTCCACCACCGCTCCCACCACGCCCCTCTGCTGGCCCTTTCTCCCGCTTTCACTGCGCTCCTTCCCCTTGATTTCGCTCTGCAGACCCCCATTCGCAAGTAGGGCCTTTTCAAGACTTCTCGGGCCTGTCACAGGCACACACACGCACGCACGCATGCACGCACGCACGCACGCACACAACATGCACCACAAGCACACACATGGCACTCAAACAAAATAACTTGAACAAAAATCAAGCTGCAAATCAAACCAGCTGTAGAAAAGAGCAGAATCGAGAGCAGGTGTGTGAGTGCGTGCGCGCGCGTGTGTGTGTGTTTTATTTTTGTAAATAAATCTTTCTTGGTTCTCTCTCCTTCCTTCTTTCGACATATCCCCCCTTCTTTTTTGGGGTTTAAAAGGCTTACCCAGTAAGGCATGATCTCTAGGGGAGGGCAGTCCTTGACTTCCCCATCCCCTTCCTCTCCCCCCACCCCCATCCCTCCTGCTACTAGGCCCTCCTGGGCCAGCAGGTCCCACAGCCCCAGAAGCAGCTTGTCCTGCCTGCAGGGCCGCAGCCAGAGAAAGCAGTTGGCGGACGCATCTACTGCTGCATGTGAGCCGCCGTCCTTGCCCCAGCCGTCCACCACTTGATACCAGGAGCGACGCTGGTGAGGGAGTGGGGGGAAGGAGGGGAAGACAAGGGCACAAAGGGATGGAGAGAGTTGTAAATAGGGGGCCAGCAGTCCTTGACCTCCTCTCCCTCCCCATCCCACCACCATCTCTCCTCCTCCTAGGCCCTCCTGGGCCAGCAGCGCCCACAGCCCCAGAAGCAGCTTGCCCTGCCTGCACAGGCGCAGCCAGAGAAAGCAGTTGGCAGAGGCATCTGCTGCTGCTGATGTTGATGCATGAGAACTGCCGTTCTTGCCCCAGCTGTCCACCACTTGATACCAGGAGCGACGTTGGTGAGGGTTAGGTCGGGAGAGGGGGGCAACAGAAGAGGTGGAATATTTTGCACATAGACCCTTCCATCTGCTTTCGTTTGTGAAATACTGTTGCGTTATCCTGCCCGATACCTCCTTGTTGTAATTTCATAATTTGTACAACATACATAGGCTAGAATTAGATCTGTAGTACACTTATAAATTGGGGGGTTGTTTAGTGTACCCTCCAACCACATTTTGTGGTTGGTTGGGATTGGTCCCTAGCTCAACCAATCCCAACCAACACACATTTGTGGTTGCTTGGGTCACAAGCAAGCTCACCCATTGGCCAACTTATTGGCCAATAGGGTAAGCTTCCCTTTCATCTCTCTCTTGCTCATTGTTTGTACTAAAGGGCCTCTTGGCTCATTATTCAATGTATCTCTTCTAGCTTTTCAACATGGTATCATGAGCTATTGGCTCACGCCTTAATCCCTCGATCCTAAGGCCACCCTCTCCTCCCCGTCCCTCAGACCTAGTCCTACTACGGTGCTCCCAAGCTCAGATCTACTCCTCTCGAGCTCCGATCTACTCCTCCCGAGCTCACATCTACTCGTCCCAAGCTCAGATCTACTCCTCCCAAGCTCACATCTACTCCTCCCGAGCTCAGATCTATCCCCCCCGAGCTCAGATCTACTCCTCCCGAGCTCACATCTACTCCTCCCGAGCTCAGATCTACTCCTCCCGAGCTCACATCTACTCCTCCCGAGCTCAGATCTACTCCTCCCGAGCTCAGATCTACTCCTCCCGAGCTCACATCTACTCCTCCCGAGCTTAGATCTACTCCTCCCGAGCTCACATCTATTCCTCCCCGTTCCTCAGATCTAGCCCCACCCACGGAGCTGCCCTCCCTTCACGCACCCTTAAGGCGCTGTCCTCCCTCCCCGTGCGCCCCCTAAGGCGCTGCCCTCCAAGGCACGTCCAGATCTGCAACTCCAGCGCCCAGATCTGCATTCCCCGCGCTCAGATCTGCAACTCCAGCGCCCAGATCTGCATTCCCCGCGCTCAGATCTGCAACTCCAGCGCCCAGATCTGCACTCCCTGCGACCAGATCTACTCCTCCCGCGCCTAGATCTGATCATTCCGCGCCCAGATCTGGATTCCGCGCCACCAGATCTCCTCCTCCCGCGCCCAGATCTGAACATTTCGCACCCAGATCTGCACTCCGCGCGCCCAGATCTGCACTCCGCCCACCCAGATCTGCCCTCCGCACGTCCAGATCTGCACTCCGCGCGCCCAGATCTGCCCTCCGCGCGCCCAGATCTGCCCTCCGCGCGACCAGATCTGCATCTCCCGCGCTGAAATCTGACCATTTCGCGCCCATCTCTGCTCGTCCGCGCCCTGCCCGTCCGCACGCCCTGCTCGTCCGCGCCCTGCCCGTCCGCACGCCCTGCTCGTCCGCGCCCTGCCCGTCCGCACGCCCTGCTCGTCCGCGCCCTGCCCGTCCGCACGCCCTGCTCGTCCGCGCCGTGCCCGTCCGCGCGCCCTGCTCGTCCGCGCCGTGCCCTTCCGCGCGCCCTGCTCGTCCGCCCTTCGCGTCCGCGCCCTGCCCGTCCGCACGCCCTGCTCGTCCGCGCCCTGCCCGTCCGCACGCCCTGCTCGTCCGCGCCCTGCCCGTCCGCGCGCTCTGCTCGTCCGCGCCCTGCCCGTCCGCGCGCCCTGCTCGTCCGCGCCCTCCCCGTCCGCGCACTCGTCGCACGCCCTCCTTCCCCGCTCGCTGTCCCCCGTCCCCTCGTCCGCCCCCTGCCCACCTCCCCGGCATACCGCACATTTGCAAACGCATACCGCACACCTTCATGCCCTGCTCGCCTGCGCCATGCCGTAACCGCCCACACTCACATTGCTCCCTCCATGGCAATAGTCGCCCTGGCATGCAGCAGAAGTGGTGCCGGTGGGCATGGAGGAGGGCATAGTGGTAGCTGTGGTGGTGGTCAAGGGAGACTCGCAGGATATTGTGGTATCAGGGGTTTGAGCGCAGGCTGCGGCGCAGCAGCAGCCTTCTCTCCTCGTGAATATGTGCCTCGCTATGGCCCGACTCGGGGACTTCAGTGCAAAATCTCCACCCAAGCCCACCATGCCCCGAGTCCACCCTTCTCTCCTCCTCCTCTTCAGCAGCAGCAGCAGCAGCAGCAGCAGCAGCAGCAGCGGCAGCGGCAGCGGCAGCGGCAGCGGCAGCGGCAGCGGCAGCGGCAGCGGCAGCGGCAGCGGCAGCGGCAGCGGCAGCGGCAGCGGCAGCGGCAGCGGCAGCGGCAGCAGCAGCAGCAGCAGCAGCAGCAGCAGCAGCACCAGCACCAGCAGCACCAGCAGCACCAGCAGCAGCAGCAGCAGCAGCAGCAGCAGCAGCAGCAGCAGCAGCAGCAGCAGCAGCAGCAGCAGCAGCAGCAGCAGCAGCAGCAGCAGCAGCACCAGCAGCTCTGGCACCTCCTCCTCCAGCTCCAGCAGTTGCTTCACCGCCTGCAGCAGCACCTTAGCGCACAAGCGCAGCTGCCTCTTCCTCCTCCTCCCCCAACTTCCCAGCAGAACTCAGTTCCGCATTGTTCCACAAGCTCCGCCACTTCAAGCAATGTCCCACCTCTCTCATCCGTTGGTATTGCTGGTATGGTCAATCAAGCCACATCAGCTGCCCCTGCCACATACTCCTCTAGCACTAAAGAAACTGCGTTCCAGTCCTCTGTCCCTTCCTCCTCCCTCCCCTCCACTGTCGACTTTGTCCTTGACAGCGGCGCCACTGACACAGTTCTTCGCGATGCTGGCACCTTGCGCCCCCTCCCAACGCCTACCTCCCTCCTTGGCGCCGATAGCAGCTTCTCTATCCCCTGCCATAACACCTCGACTCTCCCCTGCCCACTCTTCCCCTCAGGCACTGTCACCGGTCTCCACATACCCTCTCTTCGCGCTAATCTCCTCTCGCAAAGGTCCCTTCAACAAGCCGGTATCACCACAGTATTCCCAGCTTATGCTAACTATTGCGCTCTCTACCATTCCGCCACCGGTCAGTTCATTTCTCGCATTCCATTTTGCCCTCGCTCCCGTCTGTACACCCTTCGTGTTCCTCGCCTCCCCTCCTGTCAGGTCATCTCTCGTCCTCCCCTCCACCCTCTCATCCCACCCCCTCCTCTCCCTCCCACTAACCCGGACCTCCCTTCACGCCCCCCCCCTGACTCCTCTTGCTCCTGTCGCTCCCTCTCCCACCCTGCCGTCCTCCTCCATCACAGGCTAGGTCACCCTAACTTCGCTACTCTACGCTCCTCTGTTTCCTCCGGTCTCCTCCATGGTCTCCCCTCCTCCCTCCCTCCTCTCCCCAAATCCCCTGCCCCCCCCTGCACCGTCTGCGTTCAGAGCAAGCTCAAGCAGCAGCCGCACCGGAGCTCCCCCTCCGCTGCTGCTCAGCCACTTGATCTTGTTCACATGGACCTCTGGGGCCCCAATCCCTCTCCCACTCGCCAGGGCCATCGATACCTCCTCGTACTCGTCGATGATCACAGTCGGTACTCGTCCGTCTCTCTCCTTCGGACGAAGGCAGATGCCCCGGCTGCGATCATCGCCTGGCTCGAGCGAGCAAACACCCATTTTGGGCGCCCTGTTCGCCGCCTTCACTCTGATGGTGGTGGTGAGTTCCTTAACAACCAAATATCCTCCTATTGCCAGTCTCATGGCATTCTTCAGACTTACACCCTCCCTCACTCCCCACAGCAGAACGGTGTGGCTGAAAGTCGTGTTCGAGAGATCACCAAAACTGCCCGGTGTCTCCTTGTCCACGCCTCCTGCCCTCCTTCTCTGTGGGGCTACGCCCTCCTTCATGCCGCCCTGCTTACTAACCTTTACCCTCACCCTCTTCTCCCATCCACCACCCCCACTGAGCTGTGGACGAACAACAAGCCTGATGTCTCATCTCTTCGTGTCTGGGGCTCAAAGGCTTATGTCCTTCTTCACCCCGCTGACCGCTCCCGTTCTATGGGAAAGCTTGCCCCTCGTACCCTTCCCTGCATCTTTCTTGGTCATAACTCCTCCTCACCTGACTACCTTTTCCTCCATCCCCCCTCAAGTCGTCTATTCCGCAGTAGGGATGTGGTCTTTGATGAGTCCACTCCTTACTACTCCTCTCCCCCATCCACTGACCCACTCCCCCGTCTTCCCCGTCCCCTTGTCTGGTCTGACACCACCCCTCCCCCTCTACTTCCTCCTCCCCCCATCCTCCCTCCCCCTCCCCCACCGTCGTCCTCGTCCCACGGTGCCCCTCCCTTGTCTGGTGATATATTTGACCCGGAACCTCTGTCCTCTCCCGTCTCCCCCACACATTCCTCTCCTAGTGCCCCTCCCGCCCCTCCTTCACCTCCCTCGCTGCCGACTCGTCCTTCCCCCCCTCCCCGCACTGTACTAACCGGTACCCCCATACCAGGTCACAAGACAGTATCCTTGGTGCACCGCCCCCTGTTACCCTCTCTACCTCTACCCTCCCCCCACTCTCCCCTCTCCTTCACCACTTCTTCCAGGCTGTTCTGCATCGACCTCCCCCTGCAGCAGCCCCCGCCGCCACCTCTCCAGCAGCGGCGCCAGCAGCAGCACCAGCAGCACGACCAGCAGCGGCACCAGCAGCAGGACCAGCAGCGGCACCAGCAGCAGGACCAGCGGCGGCACCAGTAGTGGCACCAGCAGCGTCACCAACAGCGGCACCAGCAGCAGGACCAGCAGCGGCACCAGCAGCAGGACCAGCAGCGGCACCAGCAGCGGCACCAGCAGCGGCACGTGCAGCAGCACCAGCGGCACCAACGGTCATCCGCTCCTTCCACACCTCCCTCTCTGAGGACTCCCATGAGGAGTTCCTTGACCTCCACCTCTGTGACCCTTCCCTTCTACCCATCACCTTCGACCTTTCTGGGACACCTGTCTTCGCATTCTCCTCTGCTCCCTCCGTTTTCATCCCTACCACGTATGAGGAGGCCATGGCTTGCCCCGACGCCCCACTCTGGCTCGCCGCCATTATCAAGGAGCTGGAGGCCTTTGTCGCCAACTCCTCCTTTGTTGATGTGCCTCGCCCTCCCTCCTCTACGAACGTGGTGAAGGGGAAGTGGGTGTTTCGCGTCAAACAACTGCCAGGGGAGCCGCCCGTCTACAAGGCTCGTTACTGCGCCAAGGGGTTCACGCAGCGGTATGGTTTTGACTTCTTCGATACCTTCTCCCCCACTGCCAAGCCCGCTACTGTTCGCGCCGTGCTCGACCTCGCCGCTCGCCTCAATATGGAGATCCACTCGATGGACGTCTCTAACGCCTTCCTCCAAGGCGTCCTCCGCGAGCTTATCTACATGGAGCGTCCTGCCGGTTTTCACCTTCCCTTCCCTGCGGACTCTGTCTGGCAGCTGCGTCGCCCTGTGTATGGGCTCCGACAGGCCCCGAGGGAGTGGCATGCTAAGCTTGCCGCCACCCTTGCTGAACTTGGATTCCGCACCTCCCGTTCTGACGCCAGCCTCTTCCTCCGCGCCTCCCCCTCCCCCTTCTACATCCTTGTCTATGTCGATGACATGATTCTACTCACTGCCGACCTCAGCGAGTTGGAGCGTGTTAAGGCTGAGTTGGGCAGCCGTCTCAAGTGCAAGGACTTGGGCGAATTGCAGCATTACCTGGGCATGACAATCACCCGCGATCGCTCCGCCCGCACCATCTCTCTCTCCCAGGGTCATTACTTGCAGCAGGTCTTGGAGCGGTTTGACATGGTCCGCGGCGGCGCCCAACCTACTCCTCTTTCTGTCGGGCACCACCTCTCTCCACCCACCTCCCCCTCAGCCTCCTCCCATCCTTATCTCGAACTCATCGGCTCCCTCATGTACGCCATGGTCTCCACTCGCCCTGACCTTGCCTACCCCATCAGCGTCCTCGCTCGTTTTGTTGGCGCAGGCAAGCATACGGAAGAGCACTGGCAGGCCGCCAAGCGTGTCCTCCGGTACCTTCGTGGCACCAAGGACTATGTCCTTACCCTCGGCGGCCCCTCCCCACCTACCCTCAGCGGCTACAGTGACTCCTCCTGGGCTGATTCCCAGCCAGATCGTCGCTCCTCCCAGGGCTATGGCTTCTCTCTTGGCAGCGGCCTTATCAGCTGGCGCTCCACCCGCTCCTCGGCTGTCGCCCTCTCCTCCTGCGAGGCGGAGTTGTATGCCGCCACCATGGCTGCGCAAGAGGCCCGCTGGCTCACCTTCCTCCTTGAGGAACTTGGTGCCCCCCAGCGCTGTCCCACCATTTGGTGTGACAATGCCAGTACCATTCACCTCACCAAAGATGCCGTGTTTCACGGGCGTTCCAAGCACATTGAGCTCCGTCATTTCTTCATTCGCGATCTTGTTCAGGCGGGGCACCTTCGGCTCGACAAGGTTGACTCGGCAACCAACCTTGCCGACATCTTCACAAAAGCTCTTCCTCATGTCGCTCACTCTTTCCTACTTCGTCTTCTTGGCCTCACTCCTCCTAAGTCGCCTCCCGCCTCTTGATTCTAGCCTTCTAGCCTTATGCATGTTGGGGGGTTGTGTTGTAATTTCATAATTTGTACAACATACATAGGCTAGAATTAGATCTGTAGTACACTTATAAATTGGGGGGTTGTTTAGTGTACCCTCCAACCACATTTTGTGGTTGGTTGGGATTGGTCCCTAGCTCAACCAATCCCAACCAACACACATTTGTGGTTGCTTGGGTCACAAGCAAGCTCACCCATTGGCCAACTTATTGGCCAATAGGGTAAGCTTCCCTTTCATCTCTCTCTTGCTCATTGTTTGTACTAAAGGGCCTCTTGGCTCATTATTCAATGTATCTCTTCTAGCTTTTCAACACTCCTGTCCCCAGCACCTACCTGGCACCAGACGCATTCCTCCTCCAATGGCTTCTTCTTCTCCGCGTTCTCCTCATCTCCCTTTCTCCTGTCCTTGCTCCCATCCACTGCTTCCCCTGCACTGTAGTCCATCTCACCCCGCCTCCTCTTAAACTTGCCTGTCCGCCCAACTGCTCCCTTCCCTTCC